AAGTGCCGAGAAACTCCGCCCGAAATCGACCTTCCAGGAGCCCCTCTTCGTCTACGCCTACGGCTGGAGTTTCTTGCTCATCGTCGCCGGTTTTATCTCGACGGAGGTGGCGGGGATCACGGCCATCTTCCTCTACATCTATTGGCATAAGGTGGGGCGGCTGAGGGATGGGCGTGGGTGGGAGGGAGGGAGGGGATGGGTGGGGAAGGGAGGGGGGGGTGGGGAAGGGAGGGGGGGGAGGGCAGGGCATAAGGTGGGCGTGGGCGGGAGGGGAGGGGAGGGAAAGGGCGTGGGCGGGAGGAGAGGGAGGGGCGTGGGCTGGATGGGAGGGGCGTGGGGGGCGGATGGGAGGGGAGGCGTGGGCGGGAGGGGAGGGGAGGGGCGTGGGCGGGATGGGAGGGAGGGGATGGGGAGGGGCGTGGGCGGGCGGGGAGGGGCGTGGGTGGGAAAGGGAGGGCGTGGGGATGGGAAGGAGGGAAGGGCAGTGAGAGGAGGGATGATGGCAGGGGAGGGGAGGGGCGGGAGGGAGGTGGGAGGGGTGGCGTGGGCAGGGAGGGAGGGGCGTGGGCGGCGGGAGGGGCGGTGGGAGGGGAGGGGAGGGAGGGGCGTGGGCGGGATGGGAGGGGGGGGGAGGTGAGGGCGTGGGTGGGATGAGGGAAGGGGATGGCGTGGGCGGGATGGGAGGGGAGGGGAGGGGCGTGGGCGGGATGGGAGGGGAGAGGAGGGACGTGGGCGGGAGGGAGGGGTGGGCGTGGGCAGGAGGGGAGGGGAGGGGCGTGGGGCGTGGAGGGGGGGAGGGCGTGGGCGGGTAGTAGGGAGGGGCGTGGATGGGATGAGGGGAGGGGTGGGCGGGATGGGGGGAGAGGCGTGGCGGGAGGGAGGGGAGGGCGTGGGCGGGAATGGGAGGGGAGGGGGCGTGGCGGATAGGAGGGGAGGGGGGCGTGGGGGATGGGGGGGAGGGGTGGGCGGGATGGGGAAGGGAGGGGAGGAGTGAGTGGGGATGGGAAGGAATGGCAGGAGGGGAGAGGGCGGAGGGGAGGAGAGCCGGTGCCGGCAGGATGGGAAGGAGGGGATGGGATGGGCGGGAGGGGAGGGGAGGGCGTGGGAGGGTATGGGATGGAGCGGGAGGCGGAAAGGGAGAGGGAGTGGGGGGAGGGGAGGAGAGGGGCGTGGGCGGGATGGGGAGGGGTAGGGGAGGGGCGTGGGCGGGATGGGATGGGAAGGGGAGGGCGTGGTGGGATGGAGATGCATGGAGCGGGAGGGAGGGGGGGGAGGGGAGGTTGGGTGGGCGGATGGGAAGGGAGGGGGGAGCGGGCGTGGGTGTTATGGGATGGGAGGGCGTGGGCGGGATGGAAAGGGATTGGGAGGGGGGGGGAAAGGGATGGGAAGGGATGGGAAGGAGGGGCTTGGGCGGGAGGGGAAGGAGGGGCGTGGGCGGGATGGGAAGGGAGGGGCGTGGGCGGGAGGGGGAGGGCGTGGGCGGGATGGGATGGGAAGGAGGGGCGTGGGGGGGTGGATGGGATGGGCGGGAGGGGAGGGGGGAGGGAGGGGAGGGGAGGGGCGTGGGGCGGGATGGGAGGGGAGGGGCGTGGGCGGGATGGGAATGGGCGGGAGGGGCGTGGGCGGAGGTGAGGGGAAGGACGTGGGGGGAGGGGAGGGAGGGCCGTGGGCGGGATGGGAAGGGATGGGGAGAATAGGGGGAGGGAGGGGCGTGGCAGGATGGGAAGCGAGGGAGGGGAAGGGCGTGGGCGGGAGGGAAGGGGAGGGGATGAGGGAGGGAGGGGTAGGGGCTGGAAGGGAGGGGAGGGAGGGATGAGGGAGGGAGGGGAGGGAGGGGCGTGGCGGATGGGAAGGGAGGGAGGGGAGGGAGGGGAGGGGAGGGATGGGCGGGATGGGAGGGCGTGGGCGGGATTGATGGGCGGGAGGGAGGGAGGGGCGGGGAGGGAAGGGCGTGGGTGGGATGGGACGGGATGGGCGGAGGAGGGGAGAGGGAGTGGGCGTTGGGCGGGAGGGGAGGGAGGGGAGGGAGGGGGTGGGCGGGAGGGGAGGGGGAGGGGGAGGGTGTGGGCGGCGGCGGGATGCGGAGGCTGGAGAGATGGGCTCGGTGGGGATTTTGTTGTTTGTTTGTTTGTTTGATTCCGTTTTATTTGTTTATATAATCATTTACGTAATTGTTCATTTATTCGTCTGTTTTTCTGTTGTTCTTTTTTATTTGATTTTTGTTTAGAAATATTGCAACTCATGGATTATGAACTAATTCCTTTAATGATTTTGTTTATTTGTAATCCCTTATTTATTTTTCTATCAGTGCATGTACAAATATGTTTCTAAAATGATAATAGAGTTTAATAACCTGCTATTTAAAATAATTAAATGAATACGCAGGACTGTCTTTTTTTATTTATTTGTTTTTTTCTTATTCTAATGTCATAAAACTTCCTATTAAGTATCTATTTCCAAAACATTTTTGTAGCTTCATCGTTCAATCATTTCGAAATAA